GTGGCAACCAAACAATGTGATTTTGTTCAACCATGTGCGCGCATGCATCAATCAAAGAAAAAGATGGTTCCATTTCTTCTTCAAGAACCATGCCCCTCAATCTTCTCTTCTGATCCTCGATGCGAGCCTGTTTCTCTGCTATTGGCAATTTCTTCACTGCTTCCGACGGGTCGGCTGTTGCTTGCTGCTTGAGCTGCGCCACGACCAAAGTGACTGCTTCGAAGTGCAACCTCCTCAACTGGGCGGCGGTGCCCAAAGGCACCTCACCGCCACTAACTCGCCTTGCGAAGGCTGTGAATTCATCTTCAGTGGGTGGCGCCTGAGGAGTTCCACACGAGAAAGCTAAACTCGAGAAGCACTTGATTCCTGCTCTTTCCAAGGAGTTGAATAATGCAACGTCCCCACAAACGTCTTTGCAGCGACTCTTGAACTCTGCTTCAGAATCAATCAGTGACATGGCAGAAGCTACAGCCGCGGACTACGTGACACAACTCACCATGAAATGTGAATCTCGTGTTCCATGACAAGTCCTGTAATGTGCTTGGTTGTCAGGCCTCAGTAACCAATAAAATTCTACCAGCATCAGCAGCGGTCCTGAGCACACCTGCAACACAAGTCGTACAAACTCGAAGTTGGTGACTACAACGCCTCACAACACTCACTGCCACGTCCTGACACACAGCAACAATCAATACAAGACTCACAACGACTTCACCGCTCAATGTTTCCTCTTTGTCGCGAGCCCATGTCGAAGCCCTAATTTCCCAGAGCTCTGTAGCTCCTGGTGCAGTTTCCACACACTGGGGTGTCCCACCTGATGTGCGTGGGATCCTTGAGGCAATCAGTGACCTTCCTTCCACACAGCACTACGTTGTGGTAGCCATCTTTGATGTAATGCAGCATCCGAGACTTTGGGCTCGTGTGTTGCAAAAATCGAAACCCCTCCGGCGGCGTTGGCAACTGAAGGACGCGAGCGGGCCTTGGGGCAGATCCACTATCTTCGGAACTAGAACTCGAATCGGAGTCTGAACTGGTTGTTCCTTCGACGGAATCTGATGCGGAACCACTGCCCTCATCAGAGGCCCCAGAGGCCTGATCTGATTGGTCCTGCACTTCCCTCGACTGCTCGCTGGCCTCAGCGGCAGAAGGTGATGGCAGGTCTGAACTCATGATAGAAAAGACCTCGTTTTTCGGGACGCGTGGCAAGGGCCCGGCTGTGGTAGCGGGGCCGACTGGCTGAGAAGCTTCCAAGTGACCCAGTTCTTTTCCCAACTCCGAAGAAGCATGCCCTTGCAACAACCGACCTGCCCTGCTTGCATCAGGAGAGAAGATTCCTTGGGATATCTCATGGATGACTCCTTGCAGGAGCCGCAAGGGCCTGGCCATTGCGTCCCTGGCATAAGTGTCTGCACTCTTGGCACCATGCGAGTGCCCGCCTAAAGCCAACCTGTCCAAGTGACTCATTCCCCTTTTGGCACAATAGCTCAAGAAAGTGGCTTTCAATGAATGAGAAGTGGTGCGAAGCTCCCCGCGGTCGCTTAACAGAACACGCAACCAAGCTCCGGCCTCACCACTGTCAAGAGCCCTGACAGTGGGCTCACCCAAATGATTGGGTGCTGGCATGACGGGATGACCTGAACTCCAATTGCAACCGACTGCTTCACGGGCAGCTAGCCAGCAGGACACCCAGTCTCCTTGAATGATACCTTGCGCAGGTGCAATTATCTCCAAGGACCTAGGCAAGGGCCCTTGCAGATTCATTGTTTTGTGCACGACAATGACGCCTCCTACGAAGGCAACAGGAGATCCTGGAAGGTCCGAGTAGTCAAGTTCGAGCCCGTCTAAATGCTGCATGTCAGACCATCGGCATCGGCCATATGCGCAGAACAATGCTGAGCCTGCGAAGCAACGATTCCACACGTCACCATCCTCCATAAGCACATAATGGAGTTTCTTGACATCAGACACTCTCAAGGGTTCAGCCTGTCGCACTGGTGCAGCCGCGCGGGCCACGGTGACACCCCAACATCTCTTACTTATGCAAGTAACCTCGAGGAAATCGAGCCCGAAGACAAACCTCACAAAGGTACAGCTCTCCATGAAGCCTCGGAGCTGGGAGAGAGGGGCGCCGCCTGCTTTTGCGTCATGAAGGATGTTGTACAATTCTGATTCCTCCAAAGGCATGCGCACACTGGCACGAGTAGCAATCTTGGTGAGTTTGATCAAAGAGTTTGCACGCTTCAACGACGTGGATGGTGCCTTTCGTGCAAGGCAATCAGCCACAATGCGCCTTTGTACTAACTCGCCTTGACCCACAAGATCGGCAAGGAAGGGGTCCTTCTCGCAATCCCAAGAACCGAACAAAACAACCCACTTGATAATCGAAGTCTCGAATGCAGCCTCGCGCGCATCCTTCCACGAGATGACCTGCCTGTTGATAACAACCTTCTGGAAGGTGTTACTGAAACCAACTTTGGCTTTCTTGTTAGGTGCGGGGCCGACAGACTTCACGGTACTCTGCGGAGGCAAAGCAAATGGGTCAGGCCTGCGATCACGGAAATTTGGAAGCACACTTTCAGGCACAACCTTCGGACTAAAGAAATCAGACCAGAACCCTTCTTCCCAAAAGAACTTCGGCTCAGCATCTCGGAGACTCAAGTTTGCTGCACGCAAGTGGCTTACGAAACCTGCGGAATCAAGTGGCTGATGCTGTTGCGCCTCGAGGGATCCCCGTGCTGGTTCAGAAAGCTCACCAACACTCTCAGTGTCAACATGACCACAAGCGGCTTGTGAAGAGCCCGAGGCAAGATCAAATGACACGTCCTCAGTCCCCGGAAAAGAAACTTCGGATCTCCTCGAGGCCTCAATGGGGTCTGCACGTGGCCCACTGCTGTTTGCAAGCAAGAGATCAAAGGATTGATCACCGGATCCGTTGCTAGGCAGAGCCCAGCTTTCAAAGGGACTTGGTTCAGACCCCCAATCGATCTCAGAGCCTAGCAGACTCTCACCTGCAGCACTTGTCCTATCAGTGCCGTCCTGCATGGCGGCAACTACCAAGGCTGCCCGGCTACTAGACTACCCACCCCCAAGGACAAAATCCACACATTGGTGGAAATGCTTAAAGGTGGCCCACCCAACCCTCCTCTGAGAGATAATGTTTCGGCGCATCACAAGTTCGCAACGAGACGTGACAGCGACCGAAAAAGAAGCATGCTTGGTTTCAAAGAAAACTTTAAAACCATTTCAAAACGTAAATAAGGGTTTCGTCCCTCCGGGACCACAACCTTACAAACACCAGAAAAAGAGAGGGGCTCCAATTTTGTCTCAAACCGTGTTGATGCTTTAGGAACAGCCGACAAAAAAGGGCGCATTTTTTTTGCCATGTGGTCGCACATATCAAGCTCTGTTTAGCCTGGTTTTTGGATGAAAAGAATCCCCTTTACCAAGTGGCCAGGTTTGTAACTCATTCCAACGGTGCAGGGGGGGGGGAGGGGGGGGAAGGGGGCCGGGCCACCGACCCAGAGGCATCCACAGCAGGAGGCAGGGGTGGGTGGAGTGGGGGGTGGCTCATACCCTCACCAACTTGACCTCCCTATGTCCACGTGCAGAGATGACTGTTTCCGGGATGCCTGGCCACTATTTCCGGTATATCGGATCATTGATGATTTTTTCTGGGTTTTCTGCTCACTATCCACGGGACACCCGATCACTATTTACAGGACTTCCGATCACTATTTACGGGACACCCGATCACTATTTCCAAGACACGCGATCACTATTTGCGGGACTTCCGATCACTATTTCCAGGACACGCGATCACTGTTTCCAAGACACGCGATCACTATTTGCGGGACACCCGATCACTATTTCCAGGACACGCGATCACTATTTCCGAGACACCCGATCACTATTGACGCACCACGGATTGCTATTTGCCACTGCCGAATCACTTTTGCTGAGAACAATGATTCACTCTATAATCACTCATTTACTCACTAAAATAATTCTCAGCATGCACCCCAGTGGTTGCCCGGCGACGGCGACTTAAGTCTATAGCAGAACCACAGAACTCGAGCACGAGCCGCTCAGCTCGAAGAAAAAGGAAACATGCGAAGCTGCCTAACAACAGCGACCCCTCAGAGTGGACATCGCGAACCTGATGATGCAACATCGAGAGGATGCGAAAAGCAGAAAGCTCAGCACAGGGGACACCGAACGGCGTTTTTTTTTTCGAGCAGAAGCAAAGCCAGCCCCGCGAGGGATTACTGCTTCGGCAATGAAGTGGCCGCGGCGTTGAAGATGTGGCGACAACAGTGGGGCAGACTCACAACCGCGTTCTAGTGGGCAGGGTGAGAGTATCGAGGAAGGGTGGACACCTTGTCGCGAACATCTTGGATGAGATTCGTGACTGTATTCTCTAGAATTTTGATGCTCCTAGACTGTTGGGCCACGGACTCGCGAATTTCGCTCAGTTCCTGTTCCTGCTCTCGAACTTGTCGTTGTAAGCCGTCCAATAGTTGTTGCTGAATCTGTCGAACAGAGGCTTCTTCGACTCGCTGTTGCATCAAGTCGGAACGAACGGCGATGAGCTCGACCTGCGTGTATCTGATCCATCTTTCCAGTGATGCGAGCGGCTGAAACGCCGAGTCCATGCTTCGGGATATCCGTCAGTCGTGACGGACACGCAGGCACACCGAACCTTCGCAAGACAGCGTCCACCCGGCCGCACTGCGGAGACTAGCAGGACCACAGAAATCGAGCCCAAGCTAAGCAGCGCGTTCCAAGGACAGTAGCTAAATTGAACCTCACTGAGCCAAATGCAGCGTCGCCTCAGAACGGACATCGTGTACCTGATGCCAACCACATGGAAGCTGTGAACAGCAACGCACAGCACAGGGGACACCGAACAGCTTTTTGGGCAGAAGCACAGCCAGCCCCGCGAGGGATTGCTGCTGCGCCGCACTTTCGCAAGACAGCATCCATGCGGTTGCAAAGCTATTCTAAATCTGCCTATCAGCTACAACAGCAGCTTCATCCTTCGCCACCCACTCTCGCGCTTTCAGGAAGCGCACGTACGCTGTCAAATAGCGCATGTGCACGAACGTCACTGACACGGCTTGCACCGCTGCAGCCTCCATTTCTGACTCCGACATACTAAAACCTCGCCAGTTCCAGGAAACGCTCCAATGCAACCCTCTCTTGTCGTTAGACAATGTTTGGAAAGGGCCTGCTCGGGGCATCAGCCAAGCGAGAAGGCCACTGACCACGTTGTGCAGCTCGTCCGGCACAAACCCGTAGCTTTCCTCGTCCGTCGTGTCGTAGCATTCCTCAGGGATGCATGGAGACAGGCTCGCGACCAGGCGGTGCGCCGCAAACTTCATGGTGCCCTCCCGAGTTGCCTCACAGGCTTTCGGCAACTCCGGCAACATCGTAGGCTCGACCCCATCAGGTCGCCACCCCTCCAGTCGGCAACGCTTCAACGGCAAGAGGACGTGCAGGTTCTGGAGCAAGACCTCGCGTCAAACAGGCAAACGCAAACCACCTGCAAGTGAGGACAACAAATAGCAACAAATAAAGCCGCGTACACTCGATTCTCTAACACTTTGATAACCGGCACAGCGACGGTCAAGGGCTTGTGCTGAAAGGAAGGCAGGTTTCTGTGCCTCTTGCCGCGGAGCTGCTGGCCACAGGCATCCCCAGCGGCTTCGTGCTCTTCTCGCGTGACTGCATCGATTCTGGCCGTCTTGCGCGTGCAGGCGCGCACGTCTGAGCTGTAGGCAGGTTTGTTTAAAAAGCCCTTCTGCCCAGGCCGAATTACTACGTACTTCATGGCTTCGTCGAGCATCTCCAATGACATCTGGGGCGACGGAGCATGCAACTGGGTCTTGGCGACCAGAAACTCGTGCCACTTGCACACAGTCGGAGCCCAAGTATCCCGGCGCATGAACTCCCAGCAGACGCCCGCAGCAGCTTCGCCCGGATGCAGGCATCGAGCAACTGACTGCCTCCCTACATTTTCGCAAGACTCGGTCGGCGCGGTTCGGCAGACAAGCCAAATCCGCGGAGTCGCAGAGTCTGGGTCTTCGCCATCAACAAGCATATCAGACACATCCTGACAGGGTTGGACAGCCAGGACATATGCTTCCACGTACTGTTCCAAAAGGGCGTTCCAGTGGACGTTCTTCACGGCGCACAAAAGCCTTCTGCCGGCGTCGCTGATGCCTTGCTCCATTTCAAACAAGACCAGTGCACTAGAAAGAAGCCGCACCTCGCACACAGTAGACGCCCACCGATTCGTTTGTCGTGGCTCGCGCTTTTCGCCGACCAAAGAACTCGGCTCGGCTCGAGAAAGCATTGCTGGCGGGTGACTGGCAACGAACGAGAGCCCGATGCTGCATAGACAAGAAGGAAAATGCAACTAGCCCTTGCAGAAGCAGCACAGCCGCGACCGGGTGCCTCTTCTCTGCGCTCCATCCGCAGCCTTTGCGAAACACAACAAAAGTTCAGTATAGTGAGTGACAGCTGTCGACTTGATATGAGATTTAGCAGGGCAGGCGCTGTGACAACAAATGTAATTGTGCCTGCTCGTTCGTTTTGACCGGAGCGCAACTGGTGCCCGCATCATCGCACTTTCGCAAGACAGCGTCCATGCGGTTTCGCTCGGCATCTGGGATCGGAGCACTGCCGTGCATTCACGAGCCCATGCCCGCACCACTCTTTGACTGATTACGCCTAGCCGCTTCCGCGCGAGCAGCCTCCACGCGCAGGAAAAATGCGGGCTCCACGGAACAGCTGCGTGCCTTCAGCGCTGTCCTCTGTGCCTGAGCCACCATCCGAACGGCTCGCCTACCACGCCCCTCTTCATTGGCTTTGTGTGCTCGCAGCCGCTCGTTAACACCCGCCATCCGAGTCTGAATCTCAGCCTCCGAAGGACAACGACTCGATGCCCGTCCTCCCGCAGAGCTCGCTGGTGAAGATGCTCGGGAACACACAGGATTACCCTGAGACTGAGTCTCGCCAGATCTTCGTGCGAAAGTGACAGGAAGCGAGCTCTCCTTGCCAAAGGCCTGCTGGTCCAGCATCTCGCGACAACGTCTCTCCAACGTGCCCAATCGAGCTTCCCTCTTATCCAAGCCGCCCTTCACCTGCTCTATTTTGGCCACACAGTCCGCGGCAGTCCGCTGCACCTGATCTAGCCATGCCTCGCACTTGGCCACATGCTGCGCGTACAACTTCTTCAAGTCTTGCTCCACGCCCATCATTTGCTCACGTAACACGTCCGTCTGACGAGCTACTTCACTTCGATGGTGTTGCTGCAGTCGAGCCCACCACTGCTGTGCCGTATCGTCCATGGTGCGTCTGACACCTTCGGTTACTCGATCTTCAAGATGCTCCAAAGAGTCCAAACGACTGTCCTGTCGTCGAAAGCCTTCGCGATTCGACTGACGAGTCGCATGAAGGATCGTCTGCAAGACATCCGCCTTCCTTTCCACAGCTTCCAACCGCTGCAGAGCCGTTGAGTCCATGCTTCGGAATATCTTACAGTCTCGCCTGACGCGCCCAGCTTTCGCAAGACAACGTCCACTCAGCGGCGTCACGGCGGCAAACAAACACAACGTAAATCGAGCCCAGCTGAGAAACAACACAGCGAGCGAAATTGAAAACGGCTTAAATGCAGCCCCCCCCCCCCCTCCCCCGGCGAGACCCGAGAAATCCCTTGAAGGGGATGACTACGTGCCTGCCCCTGCCCAAACCCGATCTGTCTTCGTCCAGCCTCATTCCCGACAATCGTCTTCTCGCAGCTCACAAGATCTGCGAGAGGTTTAGGGGGGGCAGTTGACATGGAAGGATAACTAAAGCAGGAGACACAGATGGAATGATATAACAAGGATCACAGGGCATTAGTCCAATCAGCCCTAAGGCGGCATCTGGCAACATTCCGAAGTGGATTCCGCGATCCATGTAGGGTCTTATTCAGAAGTTCGGGAGATATCCTATCCCCTAATTTCACAACCAAACGGCCCGCCTCGCGGAGCCGCGCCGCTGCTCGCCGCGTCTAAACCCCGATACAGGCATCGGGCAGGACTCATCCGACAAAGAAGCACACCCAACAAAAGCAGAAACGCAACACCGACCCTTCTAGCTACGCCAGATGCCGCCGATTAATTATCTGCACCATCACGGGCTCGATGAGCCGACCTGGACATTGACTCGCGACAAGCAATCTCTTCTTGTCGAAATTTCCTCGTCTTCATCCCAGTTCACAGCCTCACATGAGACCGTGTGACCAGTGACCGCATGCGGCCAAGCTGCTCACATAGTGACTTTGCTGGAGGTTCCTGGAACTGGTCGGCACATCGACCGCTTCCTTCACGGCAAGCACCACGGCGGCTTTGACTGCCCGAACGCAGCTATCATCCCAAAGACCAGCCGCCAGCAAACAACAATTGGCAACCGACCTCTTACGTTGCCGTGTGCCTGGTCCTGGACGAACCTTGACTCTGGCTGGATACTTCCGTGATCCGAGCTCTTGTCACGGCCGCTCCACTGATTGCCAATGTCCACAAGCTGCTTGCCACTTTCGAGGACGAGCCCGTGGTTCACGTTCTCTATTGTACACCGAACCGAAGCCTAGAAGATCACAAGAACTGCAGCAAACACACTACACTCAAAGTGGCGCAGCGCTAGCCGTGAATACAAGTGTAAGGTTCGGGGAGTACCCTACCGGGTCGCGCCGAACGACTTCTGTGTTCCACTCGAAGCGCACTCCGAACACGCAACGCCTACGTAGCAGGTGTCGTTAAATCTCCAATCCAAAAGCGAACGCTGAATGCCTGCCAGGAGCAGATCCCGAATCCCGACAGAGACCGCCCGCCCAAAATGATCAAGCAGAATCAATGCAATGCGTCCGAAGCGCAGAAACACCAACTGGATCTCTTCGCGAACAGTGCATAAGAATAACCGACAGGACCACACTCAAAGCCCGCTCCGAACGTTCATAGCAACAGCTATCGGGCGGAGTCAAATATCCATTCCAAGTTCCTCGAAGAAGCCAAACCAAAGGCGAACACTGAATGCCTGCCAGGACCGGATTCCCAATCCCGACAGAAACGACCCACCCAAAATGATCAGGCAGAATCTAGGCAATGAGTGCGAAACGAAGAAGCGCAACCTCGAATCGGCAAGAGCCGAAGGCCCGGATGAAGCCCTCCTGGAACCCTACTTGAAGCCTTTAATATGCCCTGCACGCACAACGAAGCCAAAGTTCATACCTTCCAAGCAACTGCCCCGACCTGCTGGGAAACGCAGATGGCATACCAGACAAACACCTGTGAGTGTGCCGGGAGCAGCTCAGCCAAATGCAATGCGCTTGCTAGCTGCATACGATGCAAACAACGGGGTCTGCAGACTGAAAGTCGAGGCCCTGGATCACTTGCCCAAGACGAAAAAACCAAAGCTTCCGCAGGAACTGTGTCTGCCCGAAATGAACACCGCGAATACAACGAAGCCTCGCCGAAGACTGCAAGCCTCGAAAGTGATTCCACCAAGAAGCGTTTGCCGAAGAGGAGAAAGGACGTCGGACCCTGAAAGCCAGCATGAGACGACCAAAACCCCGAGTATCTAACACCGCGATCTTGCAATGTCAGAGCAGGTAAAACCCGAATCAAAAGTGCAATCCATACAGTAACGATCAGCAAATGAAATCGCAGTCAATGGAGTAGGTCCGTGAAGTCTCATGACGCAATGTCCTTGTTCAATAACGCGTCGGTCCAAAGGCAGTTTGTCAGAACTCATACCAATGTTCCTGATGACACGCAACGCGCCTCGCAATACGTGCGTGCAAGAATAAATGTAAGATCAGTCGACATCGAACAGCCGCAATCGAACAATTACATGAGCACAATGCTCCAAGGAATGCGCGCGAAAATTCATGAACTGTCACTCCAATCATTACAATCTCGGTCCCTCGGCTGGAGATGGTGACGCATGTGCACAATCCGTGGCAGCGCTCCTGGTACATGCCCGTCTCTTAGTAGTTCTTGAACAATTTTCAAGCAGACGTTCAAAGCAGCATAATTCGTCAAAAGTCGTGACAACAGATCGCAACGCACGTGCTCAATGCAAGCTCGCCTTCTTTGCACAGGTAGTGTTATCGCCACCACCGGGCCCAAATCGGCCGATACGTACAACGCAATGTATTAGGATGCACTCTATTACAATGAGTCGTGGAAACAAGTCGCATATCGGGGGCAGAGGTAAGGAAACTAAGCAGGCATCTGCACGTTGCAATTATTCCGTGGCTTACTGGTCCTACAAGAGCTTCGGGACTAGCAGTACCGCTTGCTTTCAATCTCGCATCTTGCGAGTTCTGCCTCCTTCCAGAACGAAACCTGAAGCAAGGACACAAACTGAAGTCCTTACGTCCCTT